GAAAGAGTGAGGGAAGGATGCAAAGAAAACTTGCTCCCTAGCCAAATGTTTCCAGCTCTTCTAATGAAGCATTTCAATGTTTTGTTCAGCTGAGACTGGTAGCAGTCAAGCTACTACCAGTGGGTCTGTGTAGTTGTGCATCCTTTTGCCTTGGAGAAAATGGAATTTTCCTTTGTCCTGGTCCACTCCCTGTTTCCCAGCGTAGCATAACCATGATGGTTCTATTGTATTTCTCATCTTTCATGCATCCAGGGGTTCAAATTTGCACCGGTGTTTACTTGAACTAGGCTAGCTTAGGGCGATTAGGCCTCATACTATGAGCCATAATTTGATTGTAAAATAGGGCAAGAAAGAATCTTTCCCGAAAGGTCAGTATTGTCCAGTTAACACACTGTGAGGTTTTTCTCTGAAGGATCTGACATTAATGAAATCAGGATATTAGACAATCTGTGATCTCAAGGCTGTTCTGGTATGGTAATTTCTAGGTTCCTGTAAAAGGCAGGATAGGGAACAGGAAGATGCTGCTTTTGCTGTAATAGTATCTGCCATGAATGTACTTCTGCAGGGAAACATGAGCCTTTTAGTGAAACGGCTGTAATAAGGGGTTTCAAGTATGAAAAATATTCTCCAGCAGTAAGATTTTTATCAAAATACTTAATCATGAAACTACAAAAATACTGGAACTAGTAATAAGAGTAACCAGCTATTGATTACTGTCTTCTTTCAGTCAGATCTTCTGTTCAGGTTTAAAAAAGCTGCTAAATGCATTGTCATGCTTTGCTCACTTTACAAAGAACACCACCTTCGGTGAGTAATGATGATTTGTAATATGTCTATTTTATATCCCCTACAGTGGTATCTTGGCATCTCCTACTTAGTAACAACACATCTGTCCCAATTTTGAAAATGTTATCTCTTACTTTTCAAACACACAAATATGGTCTGAGATATTTTGGAGGTTAATTTTGAAGCAAGTAAATGAAAGTTTTGGTACTGTCACCAAAATTATGAATGAATTTTTGTGCAGTTAATAAGGATCCTGAAGACTTTACTGAATCCTCCCTTGTGTCTTCCTAAGTTTTTTCATATTTGTTCAAATGTAGTTTAATACACAGGCATATTAGTGATGCTCTGTGATCAGAAGGGTCTGCAGTTCCAAAGTAAAAGCTAAGTTAGGAAAATAAAACATTTTTGTTTTGTATAGAGAGATAATATTGCAGTTATGAAAATAACCCAGGTCCAATCCTGCAAATGCTTACTTACTGTGACTTACTGACATTACACAATACTAGTGAAGGCACAATGGGGGTTGCAAGCTTCATGTAGGAAAAATATCAGGAACTTGAATTGCTTAATTAAGATACAGTCACTAAACCTATGTTTCCCCTTTTGTATGTCATGCATTTAAGTATTTGGAAGTGGGCAGGTGAGCCTTAAAATTGTTTGAATGATTTTGATCAAATAAACACTTTTTTTTTTTTTTTTTTTTGGTTAGGGCCAACCTCAGTTATGGTATTGAGAGAGTAAGGAGATGGCAGCCCAGCTCAAGCCACATGGAACAGTCTCAGGAGGAGATTCTTTTTGATGTGACATTATTCAGGGCTAAGAAACCGGTAATGAGAATGGCAGACTCACCACTTCTTGGACCAAGTCTTCCCACATGCCTAATTTTAGTGAGACCAACCTAATCAACAGGTTTATATAGAGACAAAGGTGATTTCAGGGCCCTTGAATTTGAATGGAATGCTTGAACCTAAGCATAGGTCTTTCAGGTTTTAATGAAGCTGTCAAAGTTGCAGCTCCTAGGAGTCTCTAAATTTTGTGTCTTTTTCATTCCTCCACCTATGTATGCAATTCACATGGTGGTGAATAGGAGATACAGATCACTGTATTCCCTGAAGTTTTTCCTTTAATTTAATTGTTTGAGTTCTGTAGAATGAATTAAATCTATATAAGCTGGTGCATTAGATTGACTCAAATGCAAAGTATATCATAAAATGGTAATTAACAATAAAATTAATAAATCCACCACAATCTGGCACTTAAACAAATTTATAACCAGTATGGCTAGCCTTTACTGCTCACCACCCTATTTTGAAAATAACAGTAGAAAGATAACTGTCTCCTAAGGAGATGAAATATACTTAGTATATCACTTCACTGTGGAAGGACTGGACACGGGGTTAAGATATTCTATACCAGGCTTTGCCACTGAGCTGCTGGGAAAACATAGACCAAATCAAGCCCCAGCTCTTTGCCTCATTTTCCCAAATTACTAAATTGGATTAATGATACCTCCTGCTTTGTAAAGAGATTTGAGATCTACTGATGGAAAAAATCAGCATAGAAACTAGCTGCTGTTCTTGTTATAATCAACTACGACCACAACGTTCTGTTCAATGACACGGGCCTGACTGCCATATACTGATTTGTTGACACCTAAATAGCATCTATGCAGAGGGGAACTGTTCTGGTTTCTGTATGTTAACTGTCTTTCCCATCTTGAAGGCCAGGATTTCTCAGCGTGCCATCTGTATTCTTCATCGGTGCCCACAGGAACGAAGTGAGAAAGACATTAGCTATATACTAATTACCTTGCAACCTGTAAAGGCATTTGGAAATTACTCCACCAGGATTCAGAAGGAAGTAGCAAAAGTTGCATGGTACTCCAGGTAATGATGACTGAGTTGAACTCTTTGCTGTGAGGCATCAGCTTGGTAAAGTCAGGGTCAGTTTGACTGAGGCAGAAAGGTAGTTATCTAGGACAGCAGTCATCTGAGTTATTGTAGGGAGGGACTGACCTCTAAACTGGTTTGTGTTGGATAATGAACATCTTAGAGTTGCTGCTGGGAAAAGAGAAAAACATCCCAAAACTGTTTTTTTACCATGATTGATGGTCTTGTATAGAGACTACACTTTTTCTATGCTAGAGAGAAACACTTGCACTGCCACTTTCAACTTAGAGCGTGTTGCATTGAACACACTATAGTTTTGCTGTAAAGCCAGCAGCAATGGGGTGGACTCCAGATTCCAGATTTCAACCACCCTACCCCTGCTCCTGAACGTTGAATGTGTGGGGATTAGGATCCAAATCTGCATCCAATTTTGCAGCTTATCACTGAGGTCAGTATCATTATCTTCAGTTTACATATGAAGAAACTGAGGCATAAGCAGAGTAATTTGTCTGAGACCACTATGCAGGTTAGTAGCAGAGCTGAGGATTAAATCCAGACCTGAGTTGAAGTCCAGTCCTCCATTCCACTGTGCTGCACTATACAAAAGACAAGCCCAAAGGCAAGATGTGTGTCTATGCCACAGCAATGAATTTAAGGCTTTGAAGGCCTGAGATGTTAAGAACAGTTTGGGACTGGCACAAAATTGGGGAACAGTTGCTTATGTTCATGGGATCTGTCCTTTCCAGATACGAATCCTGCCAAGTAATGATCCAACAGGGCTATCCTCCACATTCCTTTTATATCTGTCTCTCAGGATCTGGTAAGTGTGTATTTATTGCTTTGCTCCAGGGAAGCAAATTAAATTAAGGTTCAGCTTATTTATGGGACTGGTGTTCAGGGTTTCCCCCCTTCTCTCTCTATAAGAGTGCTGTTCTATAGTGGCGGGTGTCAGACATGTGGCCTTCAAGCTGGATCCAGCCTGTAGATGTTGGTCATCTGGTCTGCAGGGCTTCTCTAGTGGGACATATCACCTCTGACTGACCTGTGGGGCTGCTTTTCACAGCTCTCTGATCTGCTCTGCTAGCAGGGCTGGAATGTAGATGGTTAATGCTTTCTCCTCCTCCCCAACAATTTCAGGTTTTCAGTCACAGATCAGCACGTATTAACAGGATGGTGAATAATGACAGTACCAATCCAGGACGGCAACTGTGTAGAGAAGTCCTGTGGTCCAACTCGTTTTTGATACCCTACAGCATTTTAAAATGGACTTTAAAGGAGTTATGCAAGTAAAGGTAGCAGTGTTACATGAGGGAAGGGATGTTTCCTTTGCTCCAGCTTTGCTGTGCTGACGGAGAGACTCCTTTGATCAGGAACAATGTCAAGTTTCCGTGCCTTTTTCAAAAACAGATGGGGCAGCAGAATTTTTTATTGTTGGAAAAAACTAAGGATTATATAATGATTACAAAGCGATAACTCTTCCAGGAGTTCCAGCTCTGGTAGAGAGAAGATTGAAACCTCACTTGCAGTGGGATTCTTTAGAATTTACAACAAGTCCCTTGGTTTAAATCTGCTTTATTCTCCATTTCTCAAAAAACTCACCCTTGCGTTCTCTTGAGTTCCCAACCAGATTGCATTGGCTGTGATCCTGTGAGGTGCTGAACATCATGGTGTTCTGCTTCCTGCAAGATTTGTCTCTATGAAAAGAAAGTTTTGTCACGTAATTTGCAATGTAGAATCTAGGCGGACAAGGTTCTTTGGGTAATTTGTCACTGAAACCTGTCCCCCTCTTCTGCCCCCAGATCACAAGGAAGATAATGTTCAGTAAATCTGTGAGAAATTTTGTGCACTCAAATTTATGCACACATGTTGATAGAAGGAAGGACTGGAAAAACAAGCTGGAAAATCAAGCTGTCACAAGAAATGTATCTGTTCTTCTCGCATCATTACTTAGGCATTGGTGGTTGGGGAACACGCGTCCTGTGTTTGCTCATGATAACTTGCCTACAGCTATTAACAGTGAAAGAGCTGTGTGCCCTGAATATTTGCGAAATGCTTATTTAAAAAAAATAATTGTAATTCCATGAGTTAGATCTGGACCTCTCCTCAAGTCAGCAGGGCAGTCTTGACACTTGTGTTTCCTTGGAAACCTGTTGGGCTATCTGAAATATGTTGCCACTCACTTAAGACTCTCCTCAACTGCGTATTTGTTGGTTTCCAGGATGTGCCTGTGTTACACAAGTAATTAATCCTTAAGGTTTTAACACCAGCATACTCTATGAGGAAATGTTCCAGACCTTTTGTGCTCTTTAGATGAGTCAGTCTGTGCCATTTTATAAAGTTCAAAAGCAAACTGATGGTTTGTTCCCACAATCTGTGATACTGTGTAACTCCACACACCACACCTGCATTTTGTTTTTTTTCAAAACATGCATTTTAGATTCGACTGCCTGGAAGTCTCATGTTAAAGCTTGCAGCAGTTCGGGTAAAGACATATGTATCTTTCACACTTAAAGACCCTAACACCTTATTTTCAAGGAATTTTTAGAAAAATGCCAGGAGTTTGTGACTTGTTTGCCCAAATTGTCCCTGTTTGTTTCATTAGGTAACAGCTAATTTGAGATGATGTTTTATTTTGCAGCAACAGTTATCAGGAAGAACCATGACAATGGCCAGTTAAAGCCTGCCTGGTTCTTTAGTCAAGGGGATGCATTTGGGGTGAGTTTCAGAACAAAACAGTACATCTGGTTTTGGAAAGCATCAACTCCAGACAGGGAAGACACACCCTCTCGTTCTGAAGCAGATAAATTGAGTTTCATGTAACTTACTACATATGCTGTACTGATGAGACATAACACTGGGACCCTGTGTACTTGTGCATATTGAAAGGGCCACATACTTTTCTTAAGAGCTGGGGGTTTTCCAAGTGTCCTTGGCCAATATTTTACTCCTTGGCGCTATAACGCAGCATTTTATGTGCCAGTTGAGTATTGCTTTGTGTCCCACAGATTTGCTTTATTTCAGCTGTGCAGTGATTCTTGTACTGTGGGATAAAACATACTGTTGTCCACATAGTGTATAACTTGTTATTGTAAGCTGATTCTTTAAAATTAACAAGTATATCTTTATTTGGTTAATTATATGCAGAAGGCAGTGAGAAAAATTTTAAACATCTTAACATTCAACCTTTTTCATCTCTATCTTGATTTTCAGGATCAAGAGATTATAAATGATGACCCCTGGCAGGGAACTGTTATTATTCAGGAACCAGCTGAGTTTCTCTGCATTGACCAAGAGGTAAACATTTCTTAAAATCAAACGTGCACATTGGACCAAATATTGCACCCATTTGCATCCTCTCGTTCAGTTGAGGGGCCTTCTGCATTCAGAGGCATATCAAAGATGGTTTTATGTGCAGAAGAAGTTACTACCACCAATATTGCTTTCAAGGCCTATGCTTTGAAATCGTGTTCCATCTGCGTATGCATGTGCATCTGCTATGAAACTGCCTTGGATAACAGTGGAGAAAACACTAACTGATGCTTTCTGTCACATAATTGGGTCCTTTGAATTAGTGATGTGCATTGGGTGTGTCCAGCGCGTAAGATGACACTGATATTTCAGTCAGTACAACATAATTTATGATTGGCAAGCAATATGCAGTGCAACAGTGATGGAACCTGGATAGAGCATGAATTCCACAGGTGTTTAGTTCAAATTTCAGGCACTTAATTTTTGAAGGCATAAGACATTTACTTTACGTTTCTTTCTGCTATTCTTAGAGATTGTTGTACTTCTGGGATTTGGCTGGGAAGGGATGTAACCATTCCCAAAAATTGTAGTGAATGTTATTTTTGTGGCATTCCTAGCGTCACTGCAACCCAGAAACTCAGGAATTCCATGCAAGTCACCAAGTGTTGAAGGCCCAAGAGGCTTTGATTGTTCAGATAAATATCTAAGCAACCGTAACCTTCTCCCCTCTGTCTTTGAAAATGTTCCTAGTTCTGGTCTTGCTATACACCAGTGATGTTGGGGATTTAAGGTATAGTGGGCCAAATTAATCTTTGATGTAAAATCAGTGACCGGGTTAAGGATGAATTTGACCCAGTATTTTTTTTTAATCAAGTACTTGCAAGTCATGTGTGTATGACATCAGTTGCCACACATGAAAACAGAGCCTGTGGTAAACTAAAATATCTGTCTTAAATTTTGAGGAAAACATCCTTTCATTTGTGCATAAGTCATAATGAGTGTGCAGGCACTGGCTATGCATGTACATAGACATACCTCTAAAAAAAAGTGGGCCTTGATGCCTGTGAATAAGCAGAGTGCTATTTGTTGCATGGGTATAGAATACTAAGTAACACAGCACTGTATATTTGAAATGAAAAACAGGCACTTGCCATGAAACAAACCCATACACTCTTCAGTCTGGATATATATGTTAAAGCAGGAACAGGGGCCATGTTTGGATTTGCATTGCAGATAACTTCACTTTTGCAAGTGTCCCATTTGGCACTTTATCCTTGGTTGATCATTGTTGAAAGCCTTGTGGAAAATGTCAGCTTTCAAGAAGGACTGGAATTCAGAGAGTAAAGCCTAAAAAACAGGGGGAAGACAAAAGCAGGAGAAAGATCCAAAATAATTTAAGAGGGCAGGTTAAAAGGCGTGTGGGTGTGATGGACTTTGTGCTAAGGTCACTCAGCTTCAAAGTACTTCTGAAGTGTGGTTGGGCATAGGTATAAATAGTGTTAACCCTTGAGTTGGTCACTTCCTTTTAAACCATATCAGGATGGATAATGGTTATTATTGTAGTGAAGTTTAAAATTGGGAAATCTTGTTCTTTCCCTGACTTTTCTGCAACCTTACGGTGACGCTTGGAAAATCATGTAAAATGGGATTTTCAAAGGATTCCAAGGGAGCCAGGTACCTAAATACCATGGCATGCCAATAGAAGGTGGGTGTCTCACTTTTACAGTTCTTTGAAAACCCACATGTAATCTCTGTGCTTCAGTTTTGGGAGAACAAACTTTCTCTATCTTGCAGGAGAGGCTATAAAGTTCAATCATTAATATTTTTGAGATGCATTCAAGGCTTACACAGTAGATTTTTTTTGTAAGGAGTCACTGCAGTATGTTCTCTTTGCTTTGGGGGGCAGAAATATCATGAAAGGAGAGGAAAACCTCTGCAAAGGAAATATTGCTTAAACTCTCCTGGCTGGGCCTAGATCGTTCTTCAGACAACATTATTGCTACTTACCATTTTTATCAACAGTTTAGAGGGAGCATTTTCAGATAAGAAAGGGAATACATTTAGGTAAAGAGAGAGTTTCTTGTTTTAAAACATTTGAAAATGTATTGAATCTTTTAATGAAGGACTTCATCAGAATTTTCCTGTCTGATGCAAGAAAGGTGCTTGGGGACCCTGAGCAGCTGCTGTTTCTGAGGTAGGGTGCAAGAACTTCATTTCGATTAATCGAATATTCCATGGTGAATGAGCTGTGCTGTTAATTGGGGAATTTTAGAAAAGCACTACTCTCTTTTAGACATACTGCTTTTCTTTTCTCATCATTTCCTTTTGCAAGTCACTTAATAGCTTTGTATGTTGTTTTTGCCATGTACAGATGGATATAATAATAATAATAATGTCTCTCAGGAGGACTGAGTCTTATTTGTCCAGGCTCTAAGATCTTTATATGAAAGGCATTATATAAGTAATACTGCTGTTAGTAATTAGTAATGATGAACCATTTGCCATTTAGTAAATGTTGTGAGGCTGTTATTTACATGGGTTTACCCAGGTTCTGAGGATCTGAGAATTTTTAAGCTATCGTGTTGCTGAGCCCTCCATAAAATGAACGGGTGTATTGTGGAATGCTAACAGTACTGATGTCATTATACTTCTGCAGTTGTGCTCATCTTTATGGCTTCTCTTTTGGATTTGCTTAGAAGCCTTCGGTGTTTTGAAGGTTGGCCGGTCCATCTTTTGGAAGGCAATCCTGGCAAATACATCGTCTGCCACTACAGGTGAGGAAACTTCATTCAGAGTAGAGCATCAGCATTACTCAGGGGAATAATTCACATAATTATAAAACGTTTCCTATTAAGATTCTTTATGGTTTTCAAAATGAACGGCAACTACAGTGGGCTCACTCATGGTAATAAGCACCATGCCCAGAAGCACGTATTGTCAGAATTGGGACCACAGAAATTCCCTGCCCCTGAGGCCTGCATTCATCCCACATCTAGATCTCCCTGGGCAGACTCCTGCGCAGAACTGAGATCTCCCTGGCTGTAGGGTCAGCTTACGCAAATGTGACTGCAGGTTCACTGTCGAAAGGTGGATGTACAGGTGGGTGCATGCTAAAACCATTTGGCAAAATTAAAGTTTACTTAGAATATTAGTGTTTTCTCTCCACAGTAGACAAAGGCCTTAATCAAATGTTCCCTGAAGACAGTGAGAATATTTCCAATGAGTTCAATGGAACTGTGATCAAACCTGATATCTGCGATACACAGTTAATTGCAAATCCCTTGACTTGCCTATCACATAGCAAGACGAGTCAGCTGGCTCTGTTCATAGCACTTAATGAGGGTCCAGACACTGACACATTTATTCTTCAAATGTCTCATGCTGAAAACTTAGCCACTCAGACCAAGCCTCTCGATGCCATTCTTAGCTGAGAAAGAAAAAACAGGTGGAAACGCTGTTTGCTCCCGCTCTGCCCCTCACCACTCCATGCCAAGCAGGAATTCCCCCCTCCCCTCTGCCTTACTGAGGAGGTGTCTGTGTATTAGCTAACAGACCTGGGTCCCTGCTGAATCAACAGGTAGAATCAACAGTCTTAATGGGGTGATAAACACTGAGATAAGGGTGATAATCACTGTTATCACTGCTCCCCCAACACCAGCTTGCTTGTCTGTCAGTTTACAGAAATGCAGCCAATATACAGAAGCAGGGAGGGAGAGTGAAAAACTCTGTATCATTAACAGATGCATGTACTGCACACACTCTGAGTTTTGCCTCAGAGTGCTAGCCTGGGACTGCAGGCTGGCAACACTCCCGCCCCTTGAGCAGCGAGCAGAAAAGCCTGGGACTGCAGGCAGGCTGGGAGTTTACATCCCTCTCTAATCAGAGCCCTGCTGGGGTCTGGCCATGCCCCCACTCAGCTCAGCTCTGCAAGGGCAGGGAGGGCTGCTCTAGCACCCCCGGGCTTCCAGCCTGAGCCACTGCAGGCATGTGCTTGAATTTCCTCAGTACAGAGGGATTGTCTTTATGGTTGGAAATCGGTTCAGCCTAGCTAGGTTAAACTAACCTGCAAAGACTGGATCAATTCAGGGTCAGGCTTTTCGAATGTCTGTCTCTAGCCAAGGTCTCATCTAAAATTCATTAAGTCAGTGGAAAAATTCCCCTTGGCTTCTTCAGGCTTTGGAACAAACCCTCTGGTTTTACTCGGGCCTTGACCCATTGCAGTTCATTATTATTTTGGCTGAATAGGACCAGTCATATTTGGCCTTTTGCTAACAGAAATGTTTTTGTGAAAGAAGCCAGCCAGCACAGAAGTCAGTCAAACTGACTTAAAAGACTCAAACACAACAGTGTCACTGTTGTGCTGAAGACGTGAGCAATGCAATGCTAAATTAGCTTTGTGGGTCAGAGTGAAATGCCCAAAGGAAACAAAACAAGTAATAAGATTTTAATATTCTTTCCAGTGCAACAACACAAATAAATAGGTTTTTTTTAAACATAACATCACATGTGGCAGGGATCCTCTCAGCAGTGCGCACAGTAGTACCCCTGGGAAATATCCTTTGTTCATTTGAGTTCTGAAACATCTCGAATCTTGTTCTCTTTCTATAGCTGCTAATTTCCACTTGTTCTTTTTGTAGAAGGGGATCAGTTGTTCTGAGAAACAGTAATGTGACCAAATGGATTTACATTGTCAAAGCAGTAAGTTTTTTTCAGAGCTGGCATGGGATGGGGAGCTCTGGAGAGTCACTGCAGAATGATGTCTGTTTTAAATAACATTTAATGTTCTTAAAGGGAAGTTGTTCTGTCCTGAAGGTTTTTAAAGATGACCTCCCCACCACTGGAGTAATGCAAGCAGGAGCTGGCAGTGAGTATGGAATACATCCTAAGGATTCTCAGTTAGATCATTAGATAAGCCATTGAAGTTATTATTGGTGGTGGGATATTTTTTTCTCCTTGAAGTAGTTATGCTAGTGTTACCACTATCAGGGATGCATTTATATTTATGTAAGTGACTTATACTGCACTATTTTCTTCCCCTTTGATAAATGGAATAAACTAGGCTGCTATATGCATATTTATACTGATATAACTGCATGAAATCTGGATGCTTGGACTTCTTAATCTATACCAGAATAAAGCCAAAGGGGCTGCACCATGATTAGCAGCCCATAATGGTTAAAGCATGTCAATTTCTGTTAGTATCAACACACAAAGGACTGATGGGGCCAGCATCACATCCAGCTGCCTTTGATTCCCCAATCAGACCCAGTGGGTACCCATGTATAATTGGATCAGCTAGAAGCAACCTTCAGCACAAATCCAGGACAGGGCTTGAACTCAAGCCACAGGAACGATAAGATACCTTAAGCCTTGTCCTATTACAACCCTGTCATCTCTAGTGAACCATTACAGTGCTTCTGTGTGGAAAATGGCCTAAACTACTTTTGCACCTCTAGACCTCAGGAAGTGGAATTTAGACACAAGGCAGAGGTAGAATCATAAATTCATAGAAAATGAGGGTTGGAAGGGACCACAAGAGATCATTCTAGTCCAACCCCCTGCTCAAAGCAGGACCATCCCCAACTAGATCAGGGCTTTGTTGAGCCAGGCATTAAAAACCAAGAATGGAGATTCCACCACCTCTCTAGGTAACCTGTTCCAGCGCTTCACCACCCTCCTAGTGAGAAGGTAGATGCATTTAGGGAACCTGATTATAGCAGTTCCACTTTTAAAGTGAAATTCTTGAAGTGCTTCACCAGGTTTGTCCAGTCAACTTCCACTTTCTTCTTTCATTCC